AGGAACCAGAGACAATGGCGGGCGGGTACCACTTCTATGGGAATGGGGGTTACAGGGTACCGGGGTGGCATGGCAGGGGGGATCGGTGCGCCAACCAACAACCTTGGGTACCTACCTGCCAACCTTACCAGGGGGCAGGGGGGCTATTTGGGTGAGGAAGGCGGTCGCTGCCCCGCCAAGTTCAGACGTCGATGGATTGAGCAGGCACGACGATGAGGAGAGAAGGTGGTCAGCGTCGCTTTCCAGGGGCAACTACCCACGGTACGCGATCCGATAATGGCTACTACGTTGTGTATGCTGTGCTGCGACGCCGCACCACATCCTTTGTGCCCCCCCCCCCCCTTCGAGTGCTCTTCAATGTTCCGTCACCCATGCCTCACACGGGCTATTCGTCCCTCTCGTTCCCTCTTCGCGTTTTGCCGTTTCTTTTGCCGATCGAATCAAGCTGTCGACCTCTTGGCTTCCCTGCTCTGGGACTGCCTACAAAACAACAGCCCCCAACGTTCTGAGCGCCTGTTGCTTGACGGCACTGTCGGCACATACGACTCTGACGATCCTGTGGATCTGTCTGACGATGGGGAGGGCTGGTCATCAGAAGTTTGTTTGCCTTGCACAAACTCGGCCAGGCATTTGTCTGTGGCTTCCTCGCAGGACGAGCAACCAGTGAAAGGAAGCAAGTGGCAAGAGGCCAGTGGTGCATGGTGCGCCGCATCGCCAGGTGTCGACCTCGGTACTACCTCTCGCGTCAGAAGGGCCGAACCAACGATAGCTCTCCGGGGCGATGATGATCGAGTCGCATAGCATCACCGTCACCTGAAGGCGTCGCGCAGGGACCAGTGCACAGCGTCTACCCATAGCGTCTACATGGTACGCACAGCGTCGACGCACAGCTGAGGCTCATGCTCAGGTGCCGAGAAGATGCGACGATCAGGAATGTCAATTCGTCCGAGATGGGCGCTGTCGTCGGAGATCTGCATAAAGGGAAGGGACGCCTACGGACGAGAGAAGCAAGTGCCAAGTTCCAGCAAGGAGGGATGTTCAGCAGAAAGTGCCAAATGCGCAACATGGGAAATGGCAAGGGGGAACGTCAGATCTCGGGGTTGGCAGCAGAGTGGAGACCAGAGACACTGCCTGCCACTTGGGGGGCGCGCTTCTGCCGCGCCATTGGCGAGTGCGGGGCTATTGTGCCGGCATGATCAACGCCAGGGACCGCCCGGGGACCTGAAAGCCTCCTCAGGGGGGGGGGGAGACATCCAAACGAGTCAGGGGGGCGCTAACACCTTGGGCGGCGGCACCTTCCCGAACTTTGGACGTAGCTGTGAGTGGCTGTTTCCCCTGAGAAAAGGTGAGGCAGGCACATGCCTTGGCGCATTGGGCTGCTGATTGCCGCTGCGGCGCCGTTGCCTGCTAGCTGCTAGTGCTGCTTGTCCCACCATCGATCGCTCCTGCCACCCACCCACTGCAATCGCCAACTGCATCGCCACTGCCATACTCGTACTATTCAAATGGCGCGTGCCGGTGCGCCGCCTCGTGGAATCTTACCTTCATGATGATGGGCATTTGACCTCAATAGCTTCCCCTGCCACCATGTCAGTCTTCCTCATGACGGTCTGGATTCCAGCGTCAAGCGTGCGCGCGACAGACGCGATCCTGCCCACGCGCTGCACCAGACCTTGCAGCAGCAGCAGCAGCAGCAGTAGCAGCACCGCGCACCGCCTCCTGACAAACGGGGACACCCCTTCTTACGACGAAGCACGAGCCTACCATCGTCCCAAGTCCATGTCGCACCACTTCAACTGGCCAATTCCCGACGAACTCATAGATTGGCCTGAATCCGATGTGCGCTGGCCGCCTCACAAACACCGACTTCACGCTGTCGACAGTCGCACTACATTGGACGCCTACCAACCAACCCATTCGCTTCGTCTTTGATTCTGTGTGTGCCCTTGTCGTTGAGCAACCATGTTTTCTGTCTAGGCCCCGTCGATGATTGCGCAAATTTGCTTCCATTTGCTTCAATTTGCTTCAATCTGCCCTCGGTGGGCCTTGGGATCCGACGCTAACGCTGCAGGACATCCTCGAACTACAGCGCCTCCTTCTCGCCTGTCATTTCACACCTGCTGTTTTCTGACACGATGGACCGCTCTGCGGTGCCGTGTCAAGGCCCGAGGCCGCGGTACCTTTGCCTGCTGTTGAGATACGCATCTCCAACATGTTTCCTCTATCTTGAGGCAATGG